GCAACGTAGAGCAAAACGCGTATTTCCTGTGTATTTCACGATTTTTTTCCTTTTTTCTCCACTGGCGGTCCACTTCCCACCCCTACTTCACATTTGAGTAGAATTACCTCATCAAATTCAATCCTGAATCTTGCCTTTAAGAACTACTGCAAAAGCCTCTGCCCGAAAGATGACATCTTGCGGTTCCTGTGTAGGGTTAAATTTTTTGCGTTTTCATGTCTGCTGCTCTGTTCTGCTCAGTGCAGGAGTATTTATAGCCAGTAGCGCTAGGACTAAGAGGACTTCCCGTTTAAATCTGCACTTGATCTTCCATTTCCAAGCGATTGTTTCGGTGTTCCAGAGCTTTACTCGAAAGCTCGAGCTGGTGAGATTTCTGGTTTCACTGGAATCGACAGTGCCTATGAGCCACCAGAAGACGCGGAGTTGGTATGTCAATGAGTTTTCTCATGCTTTTCTATTATTTAGCCACATTATCCATGTTTTGAGACAAGTCCATCTCCTTCTAGGTGATCGATACAGAATCCGAAGGCCGTAACGTGGATCGTTGTGTGGAGTCAGTACTTGAATTCCTGCATAAACAAGGCATCATTCCAGACAAAGTAAGTTTTTAGTAAGTGGAAGTGAGATGTCACATCCTGAAGTGCGACCGCCCGATTACATCCTGCCCACCGTCCATACAAAGTGTTGGACGAACTCCTTCAGTCCACTGCAAATTGACAATTGACTGCACGCTTCGGTGGTCGTTATTACGACCACCGCTTTGGTCTCGAGCCACAAATTCAAGGAAGAGATCTCCCATCTCAGATTCTAACGCTAGCTCAACGGTTTCACTATGCACCGCTTTACGCATCGATTAGTATGGCTACGGCTTACCTAGTAGCATGGTTAGCTGTGGCTTAGACCGATTTCAACAATTTTCACACCTTTGCCCTCTTTAGGGGATCTTGATACGACCTTTCTACCACCACACGTAAGAGAGTTACACGAATACGACCCCCCCCCCCACCACCACCACCACAACCACCCTCACTATCATGGCTGTTTCTGTGTATAGAGTTTGATCATTAGGGAGGCTCTCAAAATACTCCAACTCCATCCACTTTGTCCCTTTGAAATGGCCGCGGAGCCGCGGGAGTTAACGTTTGGAAACGGTAAATGCTCCAATTTCATCACTTCTGCTTTTTTTAAAGCTTTTGTCAAAATTTCCCTGAAAACTCGTTAAAAACGACTATCCTGTTGCCACCATGGCACTTGTCAACTTCCAAAAGATAAAAGACAAAAAGATTCCCCTCAGACATTTTGACCTTCGTCAGCTCGAATTACCACCCCTCTTGAGAATCGCAAACACAGCACCCGTCTGGATCGACCGGACGGACGTTCGACCGTGTCCGATAGCCTACCCAGGACTTCGTAATGGTAGATTGCCCAGCGGCGGTGCGCGATCAGGCCAAGGTGCTGGCATATCCGTTGTAGCTGAATTATGGTCTAGTGAGTTGGGATTCGCCGAACTGGTTTTTTCTTCGAAAAGTGCAAGCATTTCACGCCGCGCAATCAATTAGAACGTGCGTGTGGTTAGTTAGATGGCCCAATTCACTGGCATTAACCTATCTCGCTGACTTTCAGATGTTTCAGGCCATGCGTCAATTGTCAGGACCTCCACTCAGAGAATTATTCGTCGAAAGTCACGAAGAGAAGGTTGCTCTACTGGAATCTGCCAAGGACATGCCATCAATCGAGCTGGGGCCAGTGGAGGTGCAATGGCTTCAGGTGATATCTACTTCTGAATTTTGAAGGCTGTGGTTAAGATGGCCAGAGGCATTGTGATTTGGGTAACGTCACTAAACGCAATTCGGTGGTGCGAGGACATTGAGTGAACATGTACTAACCAGACCCTTAGCGCGCTGAAGAGTCCTGTTCACACCACTAACGTTCACCGACGTCAGCAAAACCTCAACGTCTTTCAGTCATTGCGATCACTGCCTTTAACTAAGGAATAGGTGGGATAAAGGCACGGTGTACATGGGATTCGTTCCTTTTGACCCCACCTCACTTCAAAGAAGTTACTCGCACTTAGCATTCAAATCCCTGAAACACACTTCCAGGTGCTGTCGAGGGTTGGGCCACACCTTTGCCCGGATTCATGCGAGAACGTCAGTATCTGCAAGCACTTCATTTCGGTCAGCTTTTGGACTTGAAGAAGAAGACTGTCTTCCCAGGAGAAAAGGTGAATTGAAGCGTTTGGTTACTTCATATTTTTTAAAATCGTACTTCTAAATATTGTAAAGACTTAAAAATTGGGATTGTGAGGTGGACGCGGCTGCTTTGCTGCTATGCTTGAAGGCATGCCCCAGGATCACATTGGTGTGGCTCTTGCACACGAATGCGAATGTATTGGTGCGAAATGGGCCGGCAGTAAAGAAAAAAGGAAAAGTCGAAAACGCTTAGGTTAAGGGCTCACTCACCTTCCTAATCGGCTGTGCTAAGGGAATGAGAGACTAAGCGCGGAGAGGAGAGTATGAGGCGAGAGAGCGCTACAGATGAGAGAGCGCCAGACAACAGCCTGATAAGAGAAAAAATCTGCAGCTTCAGCAGCTTACTTTGCAAGGCCCAAGCGCTCTTGTCGGTTGGTTTCCGTGCACGGGAACGCCACATTTGTGATTGATCTGGAGGTCTATACTGACCGAAGGGAAGCGTTTACCCAAACTCTGCCTGGGTTGTGCCTTTAACAATGAATGAAGCTGAAGCAGTCTCTCGATTTTATGACTACTGTAGGTACACATATACATATACATATGCACTACCAGCATTCGAAAAGTGACTCCGCTCTCCACTATTGAGCTAGATGACTCACCCTGTCTGGGAAGAGCTACTCATAGAGATAGAAAATGTGCCATTCTTACGATTCGTTAGCGTGCGATAAGGGAGACAGGATCATGTCACATAGTTGGAACTGCAACTGCTATTCACAGCACAACGGTCACGGCCTATTGTCTGAGTCTCTATTGCTCCTGTGTTTTCTAATTTGTTCCTGTTCTTTGGCGCTTTGTGTCTCTTCGTCGTAGTGTGGTCCGTTTAGCAATAGGGATGACTTTAATTCCAGTGTTTTTGATGGTTTCTTTTGCTTTTTTCTCTCCACGAACGATCCACTTCGAGCCTAGCTCTACTTCCATTTTTTAATTCTAACTGTTCGGAATTGCGTCTCTCTATCGCCGGGACTTCACGAAATGCTTAGCGCTTATGATTCGATAGGTGATGCTCATGTGCATACCATTCATTGGGTGAGGTCTTGAAATCTGCAGTCATACGATTTTCAACGGTTTCTGTTCCATATGCGCTTTTCCGTCATTAATCAATGTAGTGAATGTTTGTTGCT